CAATGGCGGACTGATGACAGCTCACTCAGGGCGGGTCTAAGGTAAGACACCAGTCCAGTCTGTGCTCAAACGCTACTGTCAATCAAACTATCGTGGGAGGGGCCTGTCTGTGTGACGTCACACAGACCGGCATCTGAGATCGGCTCGATTTGAGAAGGGAAAACATTTAACAGATTTAAAAAAAAACACTGGGTGGATTTTTATTATTATAAGGTGGTTGTGTACACACTGCCAACACACATTTCAGTTAAAACAACTTGTAAAAGTGCATGTAGCATCCTATGACCCCTTTAAGGCTGATTTATACTTCTGCGTCAGACCTGCGCCGTAGGCTATGCAGACCAATCACAGTGCTTGTGGTCCTCGTAGAATTGACGCGCTGTTAGATTTTTGGAGAGGTGCACGTCAGGCTACGGCATAGGGCAGGGCTGTCCAAACTTGGTCCTGGAGGGCCGGTGTCCTGCAGAGTTTAGCTCCAACCCTAATTAAAGAACAGATTTTAAAACATACCAAAACGGTTACAGAAATGACACTAAATGACTGAGGATCACACACTACCAGACTTTCAAGTCATTGTGGATGCAAAAAAATGCAGAAACACGTGCCTCGGTGCAAGGAGACGTGACAAATTAATACAATACATGTTCTAAAATTGGCTCAAGATCTCAAACGCCATCCTCTGGATGGAATCATGGTCTGAAGCTGAGTTTGTGCCTTTCATACAATATGTACATTTCTGTGAAAGAAGTCAGGTAAAATCTGAACACTGGCTCTGACTTTATAGGCAACTAGCAGTGACTCACCCAGACTGCAAAAATCTGGGCCTTAAGAGAACAAATATGTTACAAATGACACATGTCGGCAATATCAGTACATCAAAAGCTGTACAAAACATCTCATAATCCAGTATTTCCCAACATTTTTTCCTTACTTTTAAAAAGATGCGACTCATTAAAGGGGCATTTATGTGTACCCTAGTTTGGGAATCACTGCCATAATCTATTTTAATATATTGCTTCATTTTCAGAAATCTTTGTATTTTTAGCCTGTGATGCAAATGTATTCATCAGATCAGTCACGCAGTGCTGCCTGTCGTCCTGACACAGACTGCGGGATATACAGTAACAGTACTGGTATAGTGTTATGGAGAAAATCTTCTTGCAAATTTTTTGCAAGAAGACAACAAAGCCGAGATGCCAGCTGACCGTCTTTGTGCAATTTTGTTATCGGTCACTGTCCAATGAGCGTCCAGACCTTTCTTTGATATGGCATTCCCAGTACTTTCCACAATTGTTTACTAGTTTTCCTAACCCTTGCTTTCTTTATAGAAAACTACCTGCTAGTCTGTTTTTCAAAAATATATCTTCTCTTATCTACTCCTTTCTGGGTGCCCAAGGTTGCAGAGGCATATACATTTTAGGCTTTTAATGAGCTGTCAGGATTTTAATAAGTTTTTCAACATTATCTATTTCTGTAGCATCCCCCAGCTCTGGTACTTCCTTCTGTATTCTATATTCATAAATGCAGTAAGGACATAGTTATTTAGTTTGGCCTTGAGGCCTTCAAAATGCACCTGGCTCTCATACATTGCAGAATAGCTTACACAAACATACAAAGTAACTTCTTCAAATGTTTAATACAGGATAAATTATATATTGAATATTTCATCAATAGTAGTACTTTATATCAATATCAATAGTAGTAAGGGTGCAGGCCCACCACTCCTCTCCACAGGACAGACATCAGGGCAGAAAAATGAAAATTCTGTCATTAATTACTCACCCTCTTGTAACCCGTAAGACCTTCGTTCATCTTCGGAACACAATTTAAGATATTTTTGATGAAATATGAGGGCTCTCTGACCCTCCCATAGACAACTGTAAAGTTACGAAACTTTACTGTCGTGAATGTGCGACCACTTGTTACAACAAAAAAATAACACTTGGAGGTGCATTAGGGATGCCAAAAACCAAAACCATATGTCATTACACTGAAGAACAAACAAGACAGAATGATCCCAATGACACACACAGCCCTTCTAGTGCAGGATCTGCAACAACCTGATGAAAACACTCATTCTGTTCCATCAGCCTCATGGCTAGATATAATCAGTGTTGGGGAAAGTTACTTTTAAAAGTAATGCATTACAATATTGCGTTACTCCATAAAAAAGTAACTAATTACTTTACTTAGTTACTTTTTATGGAAAGTAATGCGTTACGTTACTTTTGCGTTACTTTTTCTCATCTGGACAGGGCTTGCTTGTTTGTTTTTAAAATAAAAAAGTTATATTTTTGGCAAATATAAAAGCCTTTTCACACCAAAAGTGAAATGAATAAGCCTCAGGCTGAAGGGAAAGTACATTTACGTCCGTACAGTAGAACGCAGAAGAAGAAATTTCAACACACTTCAGCAATAAAAAAAACACACAAATGTTTGTCTAGAGTAATTTGTGCTTATTAGTATGGTTGAACTGCATCATTGAAGGTCAGAAGCAAAGCAATTGGTTAATAGAATGGGATTAAATACATAAAGGATATTTGTGTTGTTTAACATTTAATTATTGCAGGTTTGTATTCATTTTGAGGAATACTGAATCTGTGTGGTTTTTTTTTTGTGTGAGTGAGATGAATGAATGCATATTCATATTTATGTTAGAACTACACTCTTGATTTCTCTCAACATGAGGACAGGAGAGCTGTCAATCAATAAATTGGAAAAAAAAAGTAACTTGCGTTACTTATTTTAAAAAGTAACTCAGATATTCTCTTGTAAATTAAAAAGTAGTGCGTTACTTTACTAGTTACTTTAAAAAAGTAATCTGATTACGTAACTCGCGTTACTTGTAATATGTTACCCCCAACACTGGATATAATGCTTTGCACACTCTGTGTTGTGATCTTCACACTGTAATTAATTTAAACATTAGATAATTTACACAACATTGCAAGAGCAAATTTCTGTATTTGTTTAATAAAAGTACATAGTAATTTTCTATACAGATACATACAGTACCTATTTATACGTTTGGGGTCATATGTTTATGTGAAAGTGTCTTATGCTCACCAAGGCTGCATTTATTTGGTGCATTAATTTACAGTAACAGTTTTCTATATTTTATACTTTTAAAATAATTTATTCCTGTAAAGGCAGAGCTGAATTTTCAGCAGGCATTACTCCAGTGTTCTGTGTCACATGATCCTTAAAACATATTTAATATGCTGATTTGCTGATAAAGAAACATTTCTCATTTTCAATGTTGAAACAGTTGTGCTGTTTAATATTTTTGTGAAAACATACTTTTTTTATTCTTTGATTAATAGAAAGTGCATAAGAACAGCATATATTTACGGTTCCTTTCAATTAATTTTATGCATCTTTGCTGAATAAATGTATTAATTTCAGGAAAAAAAATACTGACTGCAAACTTTTGAATGATGTCGTATGTAACAACATTCATAATAACATTAAACAATATTTAGTTTTGATACATTCACTGATTGTGTTTCTGTCCAGAAAGAGAAAGGAACTCTCAGTTAGAGAAGTACATCTTACCTTCCTTTTCTGTTTCAGTTCTCTCTAATGTTGGTATACCAGACTGTCTCAGTTTGAAAAAAAATATTCTCAAACAATACAGAAGAATAGATAACAATAATCCTAATTCAACTAACTGTCATTAAAGACCCATGTAACCTAATTTCCTTACTCGAGGTTGGCTCCTGTTGGTTTTTTTTTTTTTTATGTATTTACTTCAAAAAATGATAATGTGCAATTCTTACATCTGGTATTCAGAAACATAGTCTTCAGAAGCCTATATAAATGGTCAGAAGAGTGTTACAAGATGGTACCTTGCTAACAACATCAGCACTTCTATCAGCACATAAAATCTTTGTTGTCAGCATTGACATGCCCACAGACAAAAATCATGTCAGGTTTGACTAGTCCAAACAAATGACAAAATTCACACTAAACCCCTGCACTACAACTCTATCCATTTAAAGGGGTCATATGATGTTGCTAAAAAGAACATTATTTGGTGTAATGAAATGTGTTTATGCGGTTTAAGGTTCAAAAAACACATTATTTTCCACATACTGTACATTATTGTTTCTCCTCTATGCCCCGCCTTCTGAAACGCATCGATTTTTACAAAGCTCATCGGTCCGAAAAGCAAGGTGTGCTGTGATTGGCCAGCTATCCAGTGCGTTGTGATTGGCCGAATACCTCAAGCGTGTGACGGAAATGTTACGCAACTTACCATATTGTGATGCCCTGTCCGGCCGGAGCGACGAGACAAAAA